TCTTGGGTATCTCAAGAGAACCTTAGAACTTGGCTTGTTTTACTGTGATTATCCAGCTGTACTAGAAGGGTACACTGGTGCAAGTTGGATTGCCGGTAATGAAGATAACAAGTCCACTTTTGGATGGATTTTCGTTCTTGGTGGGGGTGCGATCTCTTGGGCATCCAAGAGACAAACTTGTATATCTCACTCGACCATGGAATCCGAATTCATAGCCTTAGCGGCTGTTGGAAAAGAGGCTGAATGGATTAAGAATTTATTATTGGATATAAAACTTTGGCATAGTCCTATGCCTTCAATTTCCATTTACTGTGATAGTGAGGCAACTCTGTCAAGAGCTTACAGTGGTACCTACAATGGTAAGTCCAGACATATAAGTTTGAGACATGAATTTATTAGGCAACTTATTCAAGATGGAGTCATCACTATAACCTATGTGAGGTCAAGTAAAAACTTGGTTGATCCTCTTACCAAGGGATTGGCCAGAGAATTGGTAAGAATGACAACCAAAGATATGGGATTAAAACCTTTACTTAGTCTTCTGCATGGTAACCAAACCTGAACTGAAAAACCATCAGTATTGGGTTTAATGGGTAACAACAACTTACAACAATGTGACTGTTAGCACTAACATTGAGAAATTTCCCATCACAACATAAACAGTGTTGTCCGTTATGATGAGAGGTTGAGTTAAACTCTTAATGAAGTTATGAAATGTGTCAAATAACGGAACACATAGTGGAACTTCACTTATGTAAACATAGAAGTAGTGTCGCTTCTCATGAGAGTTTGGGTTTGCTCTCGAGATTGTTCATGAAATCAGGAAAGAAGCACATGGCCATAACAGTACAAACTTGAAACTCTTGCAGAGACTGGACATTTTTGTGTGTATAGGTGTCTCCAGTCTATCTTAAGAGTAATTGGTTTAAGATCTTACCACCAATAACTTTGACAAGGCTCTGAGATATATCTATACTAACAAAAGGTTTAAGTTGATAAACACCTTTTGTATGCATAACCGTGTCATAGTAATTTGGATTGAGAGAGAACTATGTAATTGATCAATCAATGTGGGGGATTGTTGGATTTTAATCTCATAAGAGATTAAATCCAATGGGTTTGATTGGTCAATTACATKAGAAATTGCACCTRCAMACTTGATTGAAAAATTAGTTTTTCTCTTACAAAACCCAGTTTTGAACTTGTCCCACATTGGAAAATTATAAGCTTTGTTTTTAATATTTTAATAGGAGCTAATTTACACTCCTTAGATATAGTAGAGGAGAGTATGAGGATTTGATACTGCGCAATGCGCGCACACGCGTGTGCGGCGCAATGAGGCGCTTTAGAGGCGCACTTTGCTCACACTTCATGCGCACCCGCATGGCTCGCGAATGACGGCTTTGGTTTTGGTGCAATGCTGACCGCTGATCACCGTTGATGAGATCAATGGTCATGATTCGATCGGGTGTGATCAAGAGGCACAATTCAAAGTTAACAGTCCTTAACTGTTTACTACTTTTTAAATAGTCACAATGTTTGAAATTGTGACTGTTCAAGGTGCCTTCTCTGAACCAACACCTACCTTTTCTTCATACCTCTTCATAAACTATTTAAGGAGCATGAATCAGACTTCAAAAACACACATTTTCAAAATCCACTTTCTCTCTCTCTCAGTCCGGTCTGCTACAGTCTCACAGAAGGTTTCTCTGGAGATTCTTCAACTTTGCTGGTTGCAGATTCTCGCCAAGGCTCTGTTGTATCCTGGGAACAGATTTGCTTGTAACCCAACAACAAACTCAGTGAAACTGAGTGGGGGCAAATAATGTTCTAAAGACAGTGTCTTCAGATGCGCCTCAGAGCTTCTCCTCCAAAGTTACAGTAACCCCATTTTCCAACAATCAGTACAGGAGACCTGCCACACCTCCTTCCCCATGTTTCATCTACAATGAGATGCATTTGACCAATCAATGCCCCTTGTGGAAGAAGATCAATGCCCTCATCGCCAAGCTTAGTGATGATGAAGCGTGATGAGGAGAGACTCACACAGGTGCCTAGAGTTGGTAACCTCAAACTCATAAATGCCATGGTCAAGAAAGAGGCCACGACTAAATAGTCCAACAAATCCCACAAGGGGCTAAAACACATAGACATCACCTTTGGCGGGAGGCCAACTCAAGCCTTGGTAGACACCAGGGCAACACACAATTTAATCTCCCGGGCAGAAGCTGAGTGCCTTGGCTTAACCAAACAAATGGGTTGGGTCAAGGCTGTCAACTCGGGGGCCAAAGCAATCGAAGGTATGGCTCGTGGAGTAGAGCTCCAAGTGGGACCATGAAGGGGCAACATCAACCTATCTGTGGTTCCCTTGGATGATTTCTAAGTTGTTCTCAGAGTAGAGTTCTTGACACAGGCGGAAGCAGCCCTCATGCCTCACATCAACAGATTACTCATCTTAGACGAGCGCTCCCCTTGCATGATCTCGGTGACAACAGAACTTCAGGTACATGGGAAGCAACTTTCAGCCATTCAACTGTGCCCAAGAAGCAGACGTCCATAGAGCCAGCACCATGTCAGCAGTAGAGAAGGTCCCCTCTTTGACACGTCACATCAGCACCAGAATGGGTAAGGAAGCCATCATGAAGAAGCAGTCTCCGCCCAAGTTGTTCCAGCACCAGCCTCAACAACAATGTCAGCATCCGCACCAGCCTCGGCATCAACACTAGCATCAGCGCAACCGTCATCCAACGCCGAAGGTGCCCGGGAGACCAAAGGCCATCTCTAGCCACAACCATTTCAAACACGCCCACTATAGGGGAGAGCGAGTGCCATCCTACCCACATAGGTACCCTTCCCATGATAGCCATCACTCCATCCCTCCTAGGAACCTTGCGAGGAGCCACCATCGGGGGACAAGTCATTTTGGGAATTTAAGTCCTGAACCTGGCCCCAACTTTCCCTTCAACCAAGCCAGACCCTCCTCTGTCTGGCCCCAGCACAATGAACACTTTCAAGACTACCCATCAAGACCATGCTTGGGCCCTGGGAGAGATAGTGTTCGCGGAGTAGCTGAAGAATCCTCCCTCACCAACAGCTAGATCAAAGCATCAAGTAAGAGTTGGTCTTCGAGGACAAAGACCGAATTGAGTGGGGGAGACTGTCACAAGTGACCGCTTCACCGTGCCTTCAAGTGTCTTCGCCGTGCCCACGTCTCACCATCAGAGTGCCATCAAGTGTGTCTTGGATGGGGCTACTTATGTATTTTGTATTGGGGGGATGCCAATAGCATAATTGTAAATACAAGTATGATAATTCGATATTTTGATGTAACCTTCTTCCAGATCACCAAAAGCTTAAGCTACTCTTTGAGGGGTGCCAATACCATGTAAAGGTTAAGCATGAGGTCCCCTCGACACAAACTTGTGTGCTTGTGCTTACCACCGTTTAATGCAATACAAATCATCTTTTGACTAATTCGTGTGTTATTTTGTTGCCTTTTCTTTTGTTGTTGCTTATCTCATAGGCTTACTTGACCCACAATGAGTGCCGCACGGGGCCTCACCATCTAGCCCCGTGACAACCGGTTGGAGGGTTTAAGGAAGGGGGATGTGTTACCCCGTAGTATAGTCCCATGAAACAACAGAAATTACTGCTACTGTATTAAATGGATCGATGATTGTACTATTTGGATCGGATGTTTTTTTACTTTTTTTTTTTTTTTAATCCACCAACATGTCTCAGCCAAACCGGACCCGGAATCTACATAGCTGACGGTTCAACGGTCTGAATCAACGACGGGTTGAAAAAACTGGTTTATAACAAGATTTTCATGGAGAGGCAGAAGCAGGCCACACCATACGGTAACAAATTAACAATGCTAGGTATGGGCAATGGCAAAGCTGGAAAACAAGGACGAGACGTTCCGCCGGGTAGCTCCCCTCCCCCTCACTCAAGGAATTAGACATGCACACGTAATTATTGAAGTTATTGGAAATGAGAATGGTGAAAAATCAAGATAGTGACATGACGTGTGACATGCCCATTTCCTTTCTTTTTCTTTTTAAGAACAAAATAACAATCCCAATAAAATGAAGAGAAAACACCAAACATCAGCTTATGCTACTAGGAAGCGTTTCCTAGCCGCTAGATTGTTATCAGGCGGCATCCATGATCATGCCATGCCAATCTAACGGAAATAATTCGCGTCCAGATTAAAAATTCCTCCCTACAAGTTCCAACATGATCCCTGTGTGGGATCCACCATGCATGTGATTTGTTAGCACAGATCATCCGGTACCATACCTCTTTTTTTTTTTTTGTATCAATACCATACCTTTCCAAGCATCATAAGCAGGAATTCATGGAAGAAGCGATCGACAAAAAGCACAAAAATCTCATATCGAGGAATGGACGACGAGGACCACAGGAAGACTCGACACTCAACCCTAGAGAAAAGCAAAAAAAAAAAAGGAAAGAAATCGCATGCACTTGCACTTTTCTCCTCCGTGCCAGTGCAAGACCCGAGACCCAGACCATTCACAGAGTATGGTGAGACAGAGAGACAGAGGATACCAATGCAAACATGCGATATCAGACCAGACATTTGAACACAATAAACACATCCCGTCTTTCTCACTTCTCAGTTTCAAAATCAAAATAGCCAAGAAATGTAAAACCAGACCAAATTTGTTGGTGCAGTAGAAAACAACCAAAGAATACTAGAACAGAGGCAGAAACTCAGAAAGAAAACCGGACCTACAGTTTTGAATCAGTGCATAAATCTCCAAGCCTAAGGGACTATTTCATAATAGGAGCAGTCTATTCGGCTGTCAAGTTGTTCAGTACCACTACCCCATCCCTGTGTCTGAATATCAAATGCTACAACTATGAGCAAAGCAAAGCTACTGACCTACTGTTGGATGAAAAAAACGAAAAACACAAAAGTAAAGAAAGAAAATAAATAAGCAGAGGAAGAAGAAGGTAGGAAGGAGGTAAGGTACCAGCCGAGGAAAGCAAAGGCGACAGGTAAAACAAGAGCCTGAAACCCAACACCGGCGTTAAGGTTGTGAAAAGCGGCGTAATGAGCATTTCCGTTGCGAGACTCTGTGATGGGGAGCCATGCGTCCTGTGGGTTGAGCTTGGTGAGGTGGCCCACCTCTTCCAGGTACCCTTTCATGTTTACGAGCACCCTCTTCATCGGCGTCCCAAGCGGGCTCAAGAACCTCGGCGATATCAACGACGTTGGGGTCCACGCCGTCGACAACTTTCCCTCCTTGGAGGCCGGCCTGGGGGATCTCTGCCCCGATGGGGTGAGTATCTCCGGCGTCGATACCCGAGGAGTTGCTGGTATCGACACCAGCTCCATATCTGCTCTGTCCTCCATTGATGTTGTTTCTGCTACTTTTTCTTCACTGCTTAATCACTCACGTCAAAAGAGTATGTCGCTCTTACACAGTCCCGGGATTATGTGATGGTTTTTGTGGAAGAAGAAGAAGAAGGAGAAGAGTACGTGGAAATAAATTAGTGATGGAGTCCCGTTTGTTTCTGTCTGTCTCTGTCCAGATGGGTCAGTTAGAAACCAGTGATGTTTGTGTGTTTCTGTGTATGTATAATGTAAGTGGGCAGAGCGAGCAAGCGAGCGAGAGAGATGAATAAAGGATTGTGGAAAGCGAAGAATATGGGGATAAAAAGAAATAGAACAAAGACATGAATAGAAACTCAAATAAAAAAAGAAAAAAGAGGACGAGAGTGATGGATCACTGTGGTCGGTAGGGACAAGGGCGTCGACTGTGTAAGTTCAAAAACAGTAAATATGAAATGGAGTCGTCGTTCACACTTGGAACCACTCACCCTGCAGCATTGTTTTCCCATAAGACCCTTCTCTTCTTCTAGCAGTAGCTAGCACTGTAACAGAAAGAAAGATGTTGAAATATACATACACGCCAAGATTCCAATAAATAATAATAATTGTTGCTGCTAAGGATGGGGCCGAGGGCAAGAAATTAAATCCGCTTCTTTGAATGTGTCCAACTTCAGAGTAGGAGGATACGTTAGAGGTTTCAGTTATTATCCTGCGGGTGAAGACTTGGATGATCAAATTAGTCAAGTATATGAGAGGATATGATGACTTTACCTAGAAAAACACCCCTATACACATCCATCAAACTTTGTTGTGAGGTGTTTATATAATTTACTAAAGCTTTGGGGAAAATGAAGCAATACTGGCTTAGGCTTCCAATAGTTATAGTTACATTGGAGTAGGAGTAGGAGTAGTACCACACTCACATATACATACACATACACACGAGACACGACACACACCCCTCTCGCCTCTACCCTGTCTTCTGTTGACATGACTCCGTAACTGCTGTACTTATTTGCGCGGAACTTCTCGTGCGCTTTCATTCCGTCTACTGCTCTCATTTCATTATTTAATTTTTGTTCTTTGTATTTATATAAAATACCAAAAAGACTACCTGATACTTTCTCCCCTTTGCTTTAACAAGACTGTGTGTACAGAGTCGAAAGCATCACATTCTCGCTGATACATGACGGCTATTATTGATTTGATTACCGTTATTATTATGTCTATAATCAAGGTTTAAGGTTGTTATGTGATGATTACAGCCATGATCTAGTTTATTTTCTATGAAATTTAATGGATGAATCCTTTTACCATGCTCAAGTATTCAATTTCCTTTTCCCCTACCAACCTTTGTTGCGGTCACTCGTTCAATCAGGATCATTGAACCAATTAACCTGTGACATGTCATCCTACATGTATAATTATATAATAATATCAATTATATAATGTCATCCTACATGTATATTTTTTTATTTTAGTTTTAATTTTTAACTAAAATTTAATATTTGACGCCAAAAAACTCTTATTTATTTATTTTGCAAAAAACAATGGAACCCCCCCCCCCAAAAAAAAAGGATTAAATCAATTTGACCGCTGAACTAGGGATGGCAATTTTCTCGATCCCTATGGGGATCCGCCCCGAATGGGACAGGGATGGGGATGATTCTTCCCCGCGGGAATGGGGATGAGAAAATTTCCATCCCCATTAGCAGGGATGGGGAGAGCACTCCCCGCACCGCAAAGACCCCAATCCCCGCCCTGTGGGATCCCCACTAATATATATGTATATATGTATGCATATGTTAGCGGAACAAGGACGGGGATGGAGAGATGCTCTCCGTCCCCACCCCGATTTGTTGCCATTCATTTGCTGAACTGACCTCCAGCAATTTCTATATACATTGAAATGTATATGAACAAAAAAACATCAAAAAAGTACATACAGGCCCAATGCAGATTTTTTATTTCCACTACAGAGCTATAAACATTCAAAATGTCAACAACCCACATTCTATACACCAATGCCCGCCTATAAATTAGCATCAATTCCAAGCTGGCACCTACCTCAACAGTACTTTGGGCCTATAAATTCTAACCCTAGGCTGAACCGTCATTCTCCCTAAAAACATTCAATTTTATGATATGAGGACCAGTTTCTCAATTGACCGGCTATATATGAAATTCAAAAAGATTCTCATAAAAAAGGTAAATGGTTTATGAAATTCACTAACTCTACCTCTATTGTTAGGGGCAGAGCCAAGGGGTGGAAGGGGGGGGCATCCCCCCCCCCACCCATGCCTTAAAAATCCCTACAATACCCATTTTAACTTTACCTATATTTTTGTCCCCCTACCTATATTTACTAACATTTGGCCCCCCTATCCATGTTTATTACATTTTGGCTCCCCTCGAAAGAAAATCCTAGCTCCACCCCTGCTTATTGTTTACATATGGTCTTAAAATACCCCTAAGATTTTTGCCATTTGACATCGTTTTTAAGCACTAATAGAAAAAAAATGAAATGTTGAATTTGCCATCCACTATTCCTCAAATTTTTAAAATAAAACTCAATTGACAAAAATTTTCAGGAAGACGAAGAAGTGGATCGCAGCTCAAACGGTGATGTTTCGGAGATGGTAATAAAACTACTAAAGCTAGAAGAGAGCGCAGTTAACAGGACAATGTACAATTTCGTTTTCGGGTTGGGTAATCAAAAGACAACACAGAGTAGGGGTGAGCATTTGGTTTATTCGATTAAAGACTGAACCGAATAAATTGAATTTTTAAAAACTGATATACCTATTTGGGAAACTGAACCGAAACCAAACTTTTTCAAAACTGAACAAACCAAACCAATTTTTTTTTTTCGGTTACTTTGGTTGATTCAGTTAAAACCGAGTCTGCTTGCTACTTTCAATCTTTCCTATGCATTTATGCAAGTGCATCTAAAATTTACACTACAAAGTTTAAACAAGCACTTAAAAACAGAAAAATCCAGTGGCTAAAAATTTTCACAATCCATATTCAGTGGCTAACAAAATTACAGGGAAGAATTGAAGAATAAAGGGAAAAGAAGAAAAAAAAAAGAAAAAAATTACATGTACACAGAGACTCTAGTGGCTAAGAAAAAAACACAAGGAGGGAACTAAGAAGAGCCGAAAAGCTGAAGATTGAAGAAGAGTTGCAGGACTCTATCACTTTCCACCAAAAAGGTTAATTTGTTGGAGGATGCAGCCTGGAGTAGTGGAACTGGAACTCGTAGTTTGCTGCTACCTTGCTCGCTCACTGCTGCAAGCCTGCAACTGAGGTCTGAGGTTGCTAACGACACGGTATATATTGGAATAGAATGGAAGCTCTCAACAATTAGGGATTCAGGGTTTCAGTCATTAGAGTTTAGAGGAAGAGGAAGGTCCATGGTCAAAGAATAATGGGGTTTTGGCCTTAAGGCTAATGACTTTTCGGCTTTTCATTGTATGTGCATATTTATCAATTTATCTCCTAAAAGTTTTTGGGTTTTGGCAAGGCTAATGACTTTTGGTCTTTTCATTATATCTGCATGTTTACTCCTAAAAGTTTGATTTTTTTCGGTTAACCAAATTACTAAATGTCACAATCAAAATCAAACCAAAAACACCGAAACCAAAATTTTGGTTCAATTATTCAGTTTCAACCGAATTATACTCACCCCTAACACAGAATGATAAAATCTGCAACTTGTGGACAGGGTTTCTCATTTCCAGAATCATATCAAGTAATGAAGTAAACAATCACAAGCCTTTTTTTTTTAATTTTCTTTTCGGTTTAAGCGTTGAATCTTTTTTTGTAGAACCCTTTTTATTCTTATATAATTTCTAGCATAGAACGCCAATATATATATTTTATACATTCTTTTCAAATTGTTCAAAATTTTTTCCACTTACGACCTCTCTAATCTCCATTATTCGACACTAGAGTAGTAGAAAACCATTAAACAATAGCAAAGCTGTATATGAAGCCCCTGACCTTCCGCAGAATCTATCCACATATTTCTTTAGCTTCCCTCCATTTCCCCATCAATCAAGAGCCTGTAGAAAAGTTCGAAGATCAACCAATGGAAACCTCAAATTCTCAAAATCTTTTAAACGTATCTAAATTTCAATCACTCCCTAGGACCCATGGTTTTCGAACTGCTATTGATCCAGATGGTCGGACCATTCAGCCTGTGAATCGTTCAGGCAGTCGGTTCTGTTTTACCCCAAATTCGGTTCTTAGTCAAAAACCATTGAAAAAGTCAATAACCTGTTGACCCGGGCAGCCGAACTGTCAACCCGTTCAATAAATTTTGGTTGTTTTTATTTTTAATTTTTTTGTCAGAACAGACCGTTCATTCGAACCAGACGGTCGGACCATCAACCCAAAAAACCAGTGACCAGAATGGTTCCGTTTCCTGGTCATTTTTTAAAATCATGCTAGGATTGTTTAACTTTCAAGGATTTAACTAACCCTAACAGTTCTCGATCACACAAAAACGTGAACATTTCACCTCTGTTGAAATTGATAATAATAACTACAACCCATCCAAGCAAGAAAAGAAGAATAGAAATAGAAATTTCAAATCTATCTAAGCAAGCAAAGATCTCTCGCTCCTGAAACATATGTTTGGTTTGAAGGAAAAGGTAGGGAAAAGAAGGAAAACCTATACGAGTCTTGTAAAGATTTCCCTATATTCCCTTTCCTTTCCTTATTTTTTCCTTCAAACCACAGTCTAAGTTCAAAACAGTCTCCAATATAACCAGAAGATGAAAAATAGTTAAGAAGTATTTTGATTTGTATACAGTTAGGTGCGTTGTTTTGGTTCCTTATGGTTTGTGGTAGCTCATCAGTATCAATGAGTGTGTTCTCAGCAAATAAGCCACTAGGGCCCTGCTGTTTTTGTTGTTTCTTGGCTGAAATTTGAGATATCAAAATTTCATGAGGAAAAATGTAACAGAGGGCCTAGTTTTTGGGCTTCGGCGGTCGGAGTCGGAGGTAGAAAGGGTTCGTTGGGACATCTCTTCTAGGGCATGAAGCCCTTGGACTGTAGGCCCATTCTAGCAGAGAAATCATTTGAAAACAGTTGTATCATTATTTGAACTTCAGATTAACACTGAGAAATCAAGAGGAATAGTTTTGACACCATAATTATAAAAGAGTATTTTAGAAGTTTTTAAAAATATATCAATAATGTGATGTTACATGTGAGTGAAGTGTAATGGAAAATTAATGGCAATGGGGGCTTTAAACAACTATAAAAAAACTTAAGGGTACTTTAAAATAATATGTAAATATTTAAAGTAGAGTTGGTCAATTTCTTAAACTATAGGGGTACTTTAAGAAATTTTCTCTAAAACATCTCACAAATTTGTATTCATCATCCTCAAACATTGAAAACGGAAATGACAATAATACTAATCACAACCTAAGGAGGTGTTTGACAACATAGTTGGTTTTGTTTTTGAAAACAAAAACAACTGATACATTAATGAAAACTGATGGTGCGCAATCCGGCCGATCCTATCTGTCAACGACCTTGCCTCTGATTGGAGCAATAGGGGGGCCTGAAACGGAGAAGAAAGTGGGGAATCTCCGGGGAGGAACCCGGCGAGATCACTCCGAAGCTCAAGTTAGTATTCTCTCAAAGGCAAGATAAAACCAGATGGCGCAAAGTTCACATACCTCGTCCTCGGGGGGTAGAGAGCCTTTTTATAACCACCTCATGCACTCACTCCGAG